CTCAGCTGTCATCATTAGTCTTAACTAGGTTTGGCACTTTAAGGGGTTAGAGCCAAATTCCAACACTTTCCTTTGCTCCACAAGCACCATTTTAATATCCATTCAAGAGTGTCTGCTGTTAGATAAGCCATTGGGTTCTGAACAGATACCATCTACAAATGTGAGTGAGATCTGGCAGCCAGCCATCATCAGATCATTGTAATTGCCTAACTATATAAGATGTTCTAACAGACATTGTATATAAAAATTATTTGTGCTAAGCTGAGATTCAAGAACAGAAGGAGAGGCCCTGGCCCAGGCCAGTGTGGGACAGTTGGTTGGAGTGTCGTCCCGTACACTGAAAGGTTGCTGGTTCAATTCCCAGTTGGGGCACATGCCTAGGTTTCTGGTTCGGTCCCTGGTTGGGGTGCATTCAAGGGGTGACTGCAGGATGTTTTTCATATCGATGTTTCTCTCTCCCTCTCTCTAAAATCAATAAGCATATATTCAAGTAAGGATTAAAAATTTTTTAAAAACAACAACCCAGAAGGAGAGGACTGACTAACCCTAGGCATCTTACATCTTATTAACTCTCAAACTTATGAGGTAGGCATCATTTTATAAATGAGAAACTGAAGTTCAAATTATTACTAAGGCGCACTGAACTACCCAAATTCATATAGCTAACAGGTATTTTAGCAGGAATTGAGATCCAGGTGTTTCAGGTGACAAAGCAGAACAGTACTGCCTCCAAGAAGAAATACCTTAAGATAATTGGAATCGGGGTTGGGGGGAAAAAATCGCAACTATCATTGTGCAGGACTGTGTAGAGTCAGACAACATAGTATCATCTCCCCAACCCTACTCATTGTTACTCTGAGCAAGTCAAATTCCTCTGGGCTGTAATCTCTTTGTCAGCATAAAGAAGCTAACTTGACATTTATTTTACTTGCTTTAGGTTTGTTGTAAGGATCTAATGAGATAGTTTGTAAACGTGTTTTATACAGTGAATAAATGTTTCTTCATATTATAAAGCTTTGTGAGTGCTCAGCCTAGCATCTTCTATCTAAATTAAATTCTCTGGGAAGAGACAGGAATTCATTTAAGCTCTAAATGACTCCCTTTTACAATGAAAATGGAAACGATCGTATTTGATGAACTTTTCAATAGTTGTTTACCAGCTTTTGCTTCAGGCATACATACGTCTGCATACATAGAAATTTCACACAGAAAGCAACTCATATGCAGTTTTAAAGAATGTAACAGCCAGTTATAATTATTCCTTCTCATATACAGGATGACCCCCCAAAATGTATACACACTTTAAGAGCTGAGAGCTCAATTTTGAACATGAAGTGTATTTTAATAAACACTGCCTTTATAATTATTCAAAGAGTATGTTTACATCTAGGAGGGGTGACATCCTATATGTACATCAAGAGTTTTTTCATTGTTGTTTATTTTCATCATGAGAAGTAAAACCTCTCTGTGCACAGAGACTATTTGTGTTACTTAGTGAAGTGAATGAATTAACTCATTCGTCAAGTGGTTCCTGAACTGCTGTCATATTCAGAGCTCTACTCTAGGTTCTGGGGATACAGAGCAGAAAAAGATACAGCCTCTGCCCTCAAGGATCTCACAGGCGTGGGAAAGAAGGCCCTACATAGCACAGGGAAATCAAAATGCAGTGGGGGGTGGGCAAAGATTTTTTTCAACAGGACACAAAAAGCAGTGATCATAAGGAGTCCCTAAATGGAACTTAAAATCAAGAACTTCTTTTCATTGAAAGACATCATTAAGAATGAAAAGGCAAACCACAGACAGGAGAAAACATTCATAACACACATCTGACAAAGGTCTCATATTTGAAATTCTAAAGCACTATAAGCCAGTAAGAAAAAGACAAAGAGCCAGTAAAAACCGGACAAATGACTTGAGCAGGCAGTTCTCAGAAAAGGATCTCCAAATGACCAATAAGTATATGAAGAGATGCTTACTCATCTTGAAAATGCAAGTTAAAAATACAATGCGATACTGCTAAATATCTGCCAGAATGCCTATAATTAAAAATGTTGGTGAGAATGCAAAGCTACTGGAACTCTCATACACCATGGGTGGGAGTGTAAATGGGACTACTTTGGGTAACTGTTTGACAATATTATTGCCAAAATTAAACATTCATATTCACCTATCCTATAACTCAGCAATTTCACTCTTGGGATATTTTCTCTGGATAAAATTAGTGTATATGTACATTCTCCAAAAGACATGTATAAGAATATTCATAGCAGTATTATTTATAATAGGCAAAAATTGAAAGTAGTCTAAATGTGTCCATCAACAGTGGAATAAATTTGTAATATAGTCATACAATGGATAATACCAGTAATAAAAAAGAATTATATGATGAATGAATGTAATAGAGTGAAAAAAGCCAGACACAAAAAAGTACACACTATATAATTCCATTTACCTGAAACTCAAGAACAACCAAATGCTAACTGATGATAAAAGCGAAATGGAAGTCAACACTGGGGATAGAGATAATAATGGGAGGGAACACAATAGAACCTTCTGGGGATTTGGAGATGTCTCATATCTTGATCTGTGCGGTGGCTGTCCTGAGTGTACATGTGAAAATATTTACCAAGTTTTATAATCAAGATTTGTGCGTTTTACTATATGTATGTGTGTAATAACTAACTTTTAAGAAGTGCAATGGGAGCACAGAGAAAGAAGTGCCTAACTCTGAGTGAAGAAATCAGGGAAGACTTCTCTGGGGATGTTGGAACTGGGCCTTGAATAAGAACTTGTCAAAATGGGATCGCAGGTCAGAGAAAGACAAATACCATATGTGGAACTTGCATATGGAACCTAAACACACACACACACAAAAGAAACAAGCAAGACAGAAACAGATTCATAGATACCGAGGACAAACTGATGGTTGCCGGATGGGAGGGGGTTTGATGAAAAATACTGGATGAAAAAGGTGAAGGAATTAAGTGCAGATTGGCAGTTACAAATAACCACAGGGGTGTAAAGTACAGCAGAGGGAGGATAGCAAATAATAGTATAATAACTGTATGGTGGGCACTAGACTTTTTTGGGCAATCTGGTCATAAGTTACAGTGGTCCCTTGGTGTTCGATGTGATCCGTTCTGGAAGCCCGTTCGGGTTCTGAAAGGTTGGAAAACCGAGGCATCCACAGCCAACAGCTGGGCCTCAGGGTCTTGCCCTCAGCGGAGCCGTGTGGCATCTTCGACTTTGAGGTGTGTTCCAAAACCGAAGCATTGACTTCTGGGTTTATAGTGCTCGTAAACAGAAATGTTCGTCAACGGAGACGTTTGAAAACCGAGGTACCACTGTATATAAATGTCTGACCACTATGCTGTACAACTAAAAAATAATCATAAAAATGTCTATCCCTTGACTTGTGATCCCATTCTTGGGAATTTATCCCAAAGAAATAATTAAACATAGGATGAAAGCTTGCCCAGCTAGCATGGCTCAGTGACTGAGCATTGACCTAGGATCCAAGAGATCAGGGTTCGATTCCCCGTCAGGGCACATGCCCGGGTTGCGGGCTTGATCCCCAGTAGGGGGCGTGCAGGAGGCAGCCGATCAATGACTCTTATAGTTGATGTTTCTCTCTCTCCCTCTCCCTTCCTCTATCTGAAATCAATAAAAACATATTTTTTAAAAATATATATTTAAAAAAACATATGCACCACCTCCAGTGTAAAAACAAACAAACAGAAACAATCTAAGTGTCTAATAAAAAGGATAAATAAATTATTGCCTGAGCAATATTATCTAGACATTACAAGGATTATTATGAAAGCTGCAGAATCACAGGAAAGTGTTTATGGCCTGGCCAGTGCGGCTCAGTGGTTGAGCATCGGCCTAGGATCCAGGAGATCGCGGTTCGATTCCTAGTCAGGGCACATGCCCGGGTTGCAGGTTCGATCCCAAGTAGGGGGCGTGCGGAAGGCAGCTGATCTATGACTCTCATCATTGATGTTTCTCTCTCCCCCACTCCCTTCCTCTCTCTGAAATCAATAAAGACATATAAAAAAAATTTTTTAAAGGAAGAAAAGGAAAGTGTTTATGATTTCATAATTAGTGAAAAAGGCAATACATATTACTCCTATAACTATGTAAAATAGGCTATGCATATGGACAAAGTCTAAAAAATGCAAATATGAAAATAGTTGTGTAAAATTATTATGGTGAAGGTTTTCTTATTTCTTATAGGCTGGTCTCATAATAAAGTTATTCTTTAAATCCTAAAAAAGGGGGCAGGGTCACAGATCTCCCATGCAGAGAGCACCACAAACTGTTCAGTAGTCTGGTGTGACTGTGCTACAAGATGATGGTGACCTGGGGCTTGAACGAAAATGTTAGAAAGCACCATATAAAGGTGAAGGAACCATGCAACATAGCCAGTGAGCTAAGAGCAAAGCAAGGAGGGTGATAAAATATGGTGGCCATTCTGCACAGGGCTGTTCTTCCAAAGAGCCCAAATTCTGCAATGAGTGAAACAGATATGGGCAGCTGGTGTGTGAAACGGTGTTGCTATTTGCGAAAGAAGGGAAAATAAGATATTTCTCTCCATGGGTTTGATTACAGAAACTAATAAACTATTCTCTAAATAAAAAAAATAAAAAGATCTTTCTCATGGGTGCGTCCTCTGACTCACTAAGACATTTTAGCTCACGAGGCCATGCCTCCTGGTTCCTTTCTTCGGGTCACATGAAAATGAGCAGCGGGTGGGTCATCAAGAGAGGGCTCTCCAGGAAAAGGAAAACTCCTTCAAAGGAAGCCTGTGGGCAGTGGCTTGGGGGCACCCCCTCACACACACACACGCACTTGCCTGGGGTGACCTCTGCATATATACAGAGCCTCCCTGGCCCGCCTTAAGTGTCCTGAAAGAGGATCTTCTGGGCTGGGTCCTGCAGGAGTCCCAGCGGGCGCTTGCAGGAGTGCAGGCTCACTCTGAAGACAGAGGTCTCCTCCAGGTTCTTTCTCTCCCCTCCTGATTCTTGCCACCGGGTGCAGGTAAGCAGAGATGAAAGGGCCCCGTGAGGTCATGGCCCGGGAACAGTATGGCCTAGCAGATCAGAGCACTCAAACGAGCCCCCGCTCTGCCACTGAGCAGCTGTGCAACTTTGGGCAATTCATTTAACTTCTCTTTGCCTCAGTCTCTCTGTCAACTTCAGGCCTTTACACAGGTTTCCCAGACTTTTCCCGTCCCAGCTTTGCCTGTCTAATGCCTTTTGTCGGTCAAGTTGTAGCCTGGACAGCACTTCCTCCAGGAAGTTTGGCCTCATGTCTGCAGGACAGGATTAGTTGTTCCTCTGTGTGCTCCCACTACACTGTAAGTGGGACACCTCTGCTCGGCACTTGTTTATTGCCTTGTCAGTGTCCCCACCAGACCTTAAGTTCCCCCAGAGAAGAGACTATATCTGAGTCACCATTGTACCCGTAACTCCTGGCATAGTGCCTGGTGGAAAGTGGTCACCTAAATATTTGACCGTTCGTGAAGGAATGAAAGAAAAGCCTGGCTAGATGATGAAGGAGATAGACAGATGCGCAGAGAATTTGCAGTCCCCTCCTCCATATTACTTAGTTGATCACTTATATTGCCACCCAGGCATCCAGCGGGTGATTTATTCACCCAGCTGGGATCTGAGGTTGGGACACGGCCTCCCCTAAAGCCTTCTTTTAAGGTTTTACATTATCATCCTGCTTGTCCTTTCAGATATCAAATTAGCCAACCTCTTTGCTAATCTCCTGGCTCACATTTTTTGGAAGCATTTCTCAGAATGTTGTGATTTCTAGAGAAACAAAGTCAGGGAGAGGAAGTGGAATTTAAACGAAGCCCCAGCCCTCCTGGATGGAGCAGCACAGCAAGGCCTTTCTGTGTGAGATCAGCCAGGGGTCTCTGAATTCCACTCATCCGAAGGCCAGCCTCCCCCTCTTAGTTTTCCCTCTGCATGTCCATATTTTTTCGTTTCCCTTCTAAAACTTTCCTGACAGGAAAATGTTCTGTAGAAGAGATCGTCAGGGGGCGGCTATGTTGGTGACCCGGTCTAGACAGGCCTTACTCAGGTGGCATGATTAGAAGGCGCTAGAGCGTTCCTGAAGCAAAGCTTCTCCCAGCCTGTGGCCACAGAGCATGCTGAAAGTCCAACGACACCCCAGTCCTCACCTGGGCCCCCGACAAAATGTCGGTTATCTGGGTGGAGTGTGGGTTAAAGTCATTACTTGCTAACACACCCACCCACCCCCGTTGGTTAATTCACTCCAACAGAGACACACGCTGAGAGCTTTACACCCAGCGACAAGGCAGCCTGGAGAGGGTGGCTGTCCAGACACACACTTGCATCCCAAACTGTGGGGAGGACTGTTATCCTATAGGGGCCCTGCCTCCTGACAGCAGGGCAGGCTCCTCACCCTGAGGGCCTGAGGAGGAAGCATCTGGTACCAGGGGGCCTAAGTCAGGAAAAGAGGCCTCCTGTGATGGACCAGGAGGAGAGGGGAGAGGCAGGAAAGGGGGAGAGGGCATGGGACAGGACATGCCCTCCTGATCCCTGATCTGCACCCTTCCCTTCAGGTCCCTTGTATCCTTGGGGTAAGGGCCACTGTTCTTTCACATCCTACCTGCATCTCCCCCAGCACATGCCCCCTTCCACTGAAATCTGAACTTTCATCAGGGACAAATTATTCAATTCACTGTGAGAAACAAGGCATAGAGAATGAAGACTCTGTGGAGAGGGCACATGGTGAAGGCAACTTGTCACACTAAAATGCAAATGCCATTGAGGCAAGAAGTTCCCTGTAGGCAGGAGCCAGGAGATGAGCTTGGGCTCCAAGATTAGGGGAAGCAAAAGTCACCAAGGGCTGCGGGGGCTTCAGAATGAGGGAGAAGACAAGAGCATCCCCGAACCAAATGCCCTACTCAATGTTATGTCTGGCATCAGTCTCTACCATAAACGTCAGTATGGACAAATAGAAAACACTAGGTTAATCTTTTAAAAATGAGTTCATAAGTTGTAAAACTGTTCTAAAAAGGTATGATAAAATAAAAATTTAGGATAGTCATTCCTAGGAAGGAATCCTGGAAGATGGTAGGATTAGAGAGGGCACACTTGGGGTTTCATAATATTAGTGGTACTGACCTATTTGTAAACTGGTTGTATTTACATGGGTGTTGTTTAATTAGCCCATACAATTTACAAGTACAAATATATTATATACATTATTTTTAATTCTTTAAATACTGAAATATTTCCTTATATATGTATGTGTGTGTGTGTGTGAGGGGGGGGAGAGAGAGAATGCTTTATAAATTTTTTTTAAAATTATGTGCAAAACAATGTTTAAAGTGGAGTGCTGAGAGTCTTAAGGTGAGATAGAGATGCAACTGGACTGCGAAATAGCAACAAGCCACTTCTTGAGGATGTCATGGTATTAACTTTTTTCAGATCCACATTGCTATGAGTTTACCCTAATATTACTAGTCCTATGCTATGTGATGTATATATATACATATAAACAAGAAGTTCACATATCAGGGAAAATATAAAAGATCATATGGCTATAAGTAAAGGTGTGGAGGAGACATTTTATAACCTGTATAGACATGACATTTTAATTTTTAATCAATTTCATTGATATATAATTAAAATATAATAAAATTCACTAATTTTCAGAGTAGCTTGATGAGTTTTGTCAATACATATAGTTGTGTATTTACCACCAGAATCTAGATTTAGGACATTTCAATCACCTCAAAAAGTTTCCTTATGTCCCTTATATTAATCCCCTCTTCCATTCCCAGCCCCTGGCAACCATGGGTCTGCTTTCTGTCAGTAGTTCTACTTTTTCTAGAATTTCATATAAACAGAATCATACAGTGAGCAGTCTTTGTTTCCAGCTTCTTTCATTTAGCGTAATACTTTTGAGATTTATCCATGTTGCTGCATGTATCAGTAGTTTTGTGTTTTTTATTGCCTAGTAGTAGTACTCAATTGTATAGATATACTACAATTTATCTGTTCAAATTGATGAACATTTGAGTTATTTCTCGTGTTTTTTTCTCATTTTTAATTGATTTTTTTCTTATGGTAAAACATATGTAACAAAGTTTGTTATTTAAACCATTTTAAAATATACAATTCCGTGACATTAATTACATTCACAATGCTGTGTAACCATCACCACTATCTATTTCCAAAACTTTTTTATTACCCTAATCCCGGGGTGGGGAACGTCCGACCCAGGGGCCCTATACAGCCCACAAAATCATTTGGTCTGGCCCTGCCAAGGCCTCACCAAAGAGAAGCAGGTCCAGCCATCACACTAAGGGTGAGTTAATTAAATGTTTGCCTAAATAGCAGGCTAATTTTTAAGTTGATAATTTTTTATGGCCTGAGAATGATGTTATAAATATCCAAATGGCCCTAAACAGAAATTCTGTAACCATTAAATAATAACTCCCCATTCTCACCTCCCCACAGTCCCTGGTAATCTCTAATCTACTTTCTATTTCTATGAGTTTGCCTATTATGGATATTTCATATACATATGTGGAATCATACATATTTGTCCTTTATTGTCTGGCTTATTTCATTTAGCATAATTTTTTCAAGTTTCGTACATGTTGTAACATGTAACAGAACTACATTCTTTTTCATGGCTGAATTATATGTATGTGTGTGTGTGTGTATGTGTGTGTGTGTATAATTTTGTTTATCTGTTCATCTGTTGGTGGACACTTAGGATGTTTTCATATTTCTAATTTTTAGTTATTATGAATAAAGCTGCTATGGACATTCAAGGACTAGTCTCTGTGTGGACAGATGTTTTCATTTCTCTTGGATAAATATGTAGAAGTGGAATTTGGTAAGTGAATGTTTAACTTTATATAAAACTGTCACATTTATTTCCCAAATGTTTGTACCATTTGCACTCACCAGCCCTCTCTGGGAGTTCCAGTTGCTCCACATCCTCACTGACACTTGGTATAGTCCAACTTTTTAACTATAACAATTCCAGCGGGTGTGTAGTAGGATCTTATTTTGGTTTTACTTTGCATTTCCCTATGTTAATGATGTTGGGTGTCTTTTCATGTTTTAGTTGTCATTCTTTTTTTGTGTGTGTGAGATGAAATGAAGTATCTGTTCAAATATTTTCCCCATTTTTAAATCATTGTCTTCTTATAGAGTTTTAAGAGTCTGTTATATAGACTAGATACATGTCCTTTGTCAGATGTTATGTATTTGCATTCACATACATGTTCACAAAATGCGTATTGTAAGTATCTTCTCCTAGCTTGTGTTTTGATTCTTCATTTCCTTAATGATGTCTTTTGGAGAGCAACTTTTTTGGATTGTACTTTTTGTGTGTTTTTTTAATGTTATTTTTTATGGATTGTACCTTTTGTGTTTTACCTAATAAGTCTTTATCTAACCCAAAACTTCAATGCTTTTCTCTTTTGTTTTCTTCTATAAGTTTTATTAAGTTTAGATCGATGGTCCATTTCAAGTTAATCATTGAATATGGCTTGCAGTAATAGTCAAGGTATACATATATTTTGTTTTGCATATGGATTGTTTCAGGACCATTTGTTGAAGAGGCTGCTTTTCCCACTGAATTACCATCTTTTAAAAAAATAATTTGATCATATATGTGTAGATATATTTCTGAACTCTAGTCTGTTCCAGTGGTCTGTATGTCTTTATATGCATTACTTCACCATCTTGATTACTGTAGCTTTATATCTTGAAATTACATGGTGTAAGGCCTCCAACTTTTCTTTTTTGAAATTGTTTTGGCTAATCTAGCTCCTTTGTATTTCCATATAAATTTAGATTCAGCTTGTCAATTTCCACACCAGAAAAAAACAACCAGACCCCTGCTAGGATTTGGAATGAGATTGCACTGAATCTATGCATCAATTTAGTGAGAATTGACATGTTAATGATATTTAGTCTTTTGACCCATGAATATGGTATGCCTCTCCATTTATTTAGATCTTCTTTACTTTTTCTTAGCAATTTTTTATAAATTTTAGTGTACAGGCCTTGCACATGTTTTGTTGAATTTATCTACAAGTATTTTCTAATTTTATGCTATTATAAATGGCATTTTTAAAATTTTGACAATTTATCATTGCTTGTATATAGAAATACAATAGAATTTTTGTATGTTGATGTTTTATTCTGTGACCTTGCTAAACTCACCTATCAGTCCTAGTAACTTTTTGATAGATTCCTTAGGATTTTTTATATAGAGACTCATGTTAATTGTGAATAATGACAACTCTTCCTTTCTTATCTGTATGACTTTGCTTCTTTCCATTTTCTTATTGTAATGGAAAGGGCTTCCTGTATGATGTTGAATGAACATTTTTTAAATGATGTCTTTTAAAGAGAGAGGATGACACCTTTAAAATTGTTTTTCTGTACCAGACAGAAATAATAACTGGCAGTAATAGAGGTACAAGCAAAATAAGATGGGATGAGGAGTGTGTGTGTGTGTGTGTGTGTGTGTGTGTGTGTATAAGTTGACAGAAATGGAGTAATTAAATCCTATCCATTGAGGAATATTTATGAGGCAGAGTTTTTAAGCAAGTTCATTGGTTCTTCTGGATCTCACCCTGGGAGGTGACAATATGTAGTGTGTTTCCCCCACCCCATGCTCCCAGTAGCAGAGCTACCATGATCCTCCTTCCATTGTTCCAGGACACTGTCCTCTCCCTGCATGATGGCATGCTCAAGAACCTGCTCCCGCATCCTGGGGCTGAGCCTTGGGACTACAGCCCTGTTTGCTGCTGGTGCCAACATAGTGCTCCTCTTTCCTAACTGGGATGTGACCTACCTGTTGAGAGGCCTCATTGGCAAACATGCCATGCTGGGCTCTGGGCTCTGGGGAGGAGGCCTCATGGTAAGTGTCCTGGATTCCCTTAGTGTAAACTCCCAAAGTGCCCCCAGGGTAGAACAGGGAGGTGATGGGGCAGGAGAATTTGATTCCTTGCAAAAAAGTTTGATCTAACAAGCTGGTCTTGAGTCTACAGCAACTCCAAGGGATAGAAGACTCTAGAAAGACTTACTGAATTTTGGACTAGGCATACTGGGTGTGAACGTTGCCATCAACAGAGGCAGATCAGGCTAGTCATCCAAAACTGGGTCCTGACAGTCAAAGCCAAAGATAGGAAAGATAGGATAATCAAGTCCATGTGAGGTGCCCAGCCACTCTATTTCAACACCACAGGTGGCAGCTAGAAATGTAAACTACCCGATCTCTTCTTAACACTCTTCTCTCCTCCCCCAGGTACTCATTGCAGCTACCCTCATCTCCTTGATGGGCTGGAGATATGGCTGCTTCAGCAAGAGCGGGCCCTGCCGAAGTGTAAGCACCACACCCCACTCTTCTAATATCTAGAATGTCCCCACATTCTATTACTTTAGAGGCAGAGTGGTAAAAAGGCAATTTTACTCTTGGGGTTTGAAATTAGATGGCAATCATGCCCCTTAATCACCCTAAGCTCTTGGGCAAGTTGCTTAAATTTTCTGAGCCTCAGGTCCTCATCTGTAAAATGGGCGTTAACAGGGACAAGTCAAAGATCCTGTTATTTAATAAACCATAAATGTCATAATGAACCGTAAATGTTGTAATGAACCATGGGTATCTATACAAATGTGAGAACTGTTATTACTTTTTACCTTATCGATCAATATGAACATGAGTTATGTATGTTGTTATCATGTATTTTTCATAGAAAATTTCTTGGCTATTTTGCTTAATTCTTCTGAGATCTGAAAGGCTCTCCAGAGATCATCTAATGACTAGATTCTAGTCTAACCTCTCCATTTTACAGTTAATGAAACTGAGGCCCCAAATAAATTTGCACTTTATTAATTACAGTAGCATCTATATTTATTTGAAAACTCTCAGTTTTCTTCCACACTATATTGCTTATTCAGCCTCAGATACCTGAATTTGTGGCCTCCTTACAGTAACCCCACAGCCTGCTTTGATATCTGCAACCCATATATCGGGAACCCCACTGATTCAGAATTATATGTTAAAGGATTAAATATAAACACCCACACATTTCATTCACTGTCTGTTCTCAGTCATATCTGGTTTTCCAGACTTGAGTGTACATCAGAATCCCTGCGGGGTTTGTTAAAACACAGGTTTCTGGGCCCCACCCCCAGAGTTTCTGATTCAGTAGGTCTTGGTGGAATGGGAAAATCTGCATTGCTAACAAGTTTCCAGGTGAGGCTATGCTGCTGGGACAGGGACCACATTTTGAGAATTACTATTCTAGGCTTACATCAGACTAATTCATCCTGAATCTTTTAATTTAGAGTCAAAACTTACTACACCTCGGCCAGTGTGGCTTAGTAGTTGAGCATCGACCTATAATCCAGGAGATCAAGGTTTGATTCCCGATCAGGGCACATGGCCAGATTGCAGGTTCGATCCCCAATCGGGGGCGTGCAGGAGGCAGCTGACCAATGACTCTCTCATCATTGATGTTTCTATATCTCTCTCTCCCCTTTCCTCTCTCTGAGATCAATAAATAAAATATTAAAACAACAACAACAAAAACTTACTACATACCTGGCACTGGCTGGGTAGCTCAGTTGATTAGAGCATCATCCTGATATGCTAAAGTTGTGGGTTTGATCTCAGGTCAGGGTACATAGAAGAATCAACCAATGAATGCATAAGTAAGTGGAACAACAAAAATTAATGTTTCTCCTTTTCTTTCTCCCTCCCTCCCTCTCTCTAAAACTGATAAAAACTAAAAACAAACAAAAGACACTTCACACATTTCTCTGTGCCCTCTCAAGCTCCAAGCCCACTTGACATCAGTGGGGAAATGACTATGATTCTATATAAAAACTATTTATTTAAAATTGTAAAATACATATTTTTTAAAAGGGAGAAAAAAACCATCTAGTATCCTGGGAAAGAAGCCAAAATGGAAGCAAGCTAGAATCCTGCCAAGAAAATAAAGTTGTTGTTATCTTTTGGGAGGGGAGAGTGGTACACAGATTAGAAAAGTACAGTGACAGAACTGGTGTCATTTCAGAGTTACTAATTTCTGTCTGTTTCTTTTCTTCTCTGTCTCTGTCTCCCTCCTTTCTCTTTCCTATCCTCCTTCCCTTCTTCCTCCCTTCCTTCCTTTCATGCTTGATTTGAAAAAGATAGGAATCAGGGATGGAAGCTTGGAACTTTTGAAAATACAGCTTTCCCTTGAAAAAGTCAGAAGATGGTTTACGATAATCTGACCCTTTAACTCTGGAGGCTGAATGACTGCAGTCTGAGCTTTAACGTTTTTTATTTATTTATTTACTTATTTTTATTGATTTTAGAGAGAGGAAGGGGGAGAGAGAGAGAGAAAGAGAGAGAGATCATTGTGAGAGAGAAACATTGATCAGTTGCCTCCCATACATGCCCCGACCAGGGTTTAAACCTGCAACGTTGGTTTGTGCCCTGACCGGGAATTGAACCCACAACGTTTCTGTGCGCAGGACGATGCTCCAACCAACTGAAACACTCCAGCCGGGGCTGAGCGTAAAAGTTTTTTGTTTTTTGTTAATCTCACCGGAGGATATTTTTTTCCATTTCTTTTGAGAGTGTGGGAGGGAGGGAGTGGGAGAGAGAGAGTAAAACATTGATGCGAGAGAGACACATCGGTTAGTTGCCTCCTGCAAGCGCCCTGACCAGGGGCCGGGAGCGAACCCACAACCCAGGTATGTGCCTTTGACCAGGAATCGAACATGTGGCCAATGCTCTAAACCACTGAGCAACACTGGCCAGGGCTGAGCTTAAAAGTTTTTGATGCCAACCTGTTGAGAAGTTCTGAAAAGCCTGCTGAGTCAGGGAGATCCAGGTTCAAGTGCCACTGTTTCCCCCTTCTCAGTTTTTTCTCTTCCACACCTTTCTACCTCTACCCAGTGGCCCCTCATCAGTCACCCTACCTTGGTTAAGCTTTAAAGGAGGTGCCGTGGGTAGGAGTAGCCCCAGGTGATATTATGAGGGGAAACCTGAGCACCAAAGAAGTTTCCAGGTGGCCCCGTCAGTCACCTAGTCACAGCCCAGCCTGGGCTCACTGTTTCTTCTCTCCCTCTGCAGATGCTTACTGCTCTGCTGTCAAGTGGCCTGGCTTTGTTTGGAGCCTTCATTTGCTTTATCACTTCTGGAGTCGCCTTGAAAGACGGTCCTTTTTGCATGTTCGATGTCTCATCCTTCAACCAGACGCAAGCTTGGAAATACGGTTACCCATTCAAAGACCTACGCAACAGGTAAATGGGTGGAGACTAGAATGAATTTGCAGCCTTTTCAGTGAGCCAGAGGGGTGGGGGGAGAGAGGAGAAAGAGGGGAGAAAGAGAGACTACAAACTCCTTTTGGTGACACATTCTAGCATCTCACTCCTCTGATGCTCAAAAATGGCAAATGCAGCAACAACAGGCACCCTCAAGAATGCATCTAGGCCTTTGACTTGACTGGGGGCGGCCCCAGCTGTCCACTGAGGGGGCTCATTTGGCATTTCCTACTTATTCCTCAGCCCCTGCTCTCTTTGTTTTGGGGACAGGAATTATTTATATGACCATTCCCTCTGGAGCTCTGTCTGCCTGGAGCCTTCTAAAGCCGTTGTTTGGCACGTGTCCTTCTTCTCCGCCCTTCTGTGCATCAGCCTCCTCCAGATTCTCCTGGGCGTCATTCATTTCTTCAACACCTTCCTGGGCCTTTTCTGCAGCCTCTGTGAGAAGTCATAGGAGATGCCAGTGCACGGACTGGGGCTCTCAGCAGAAGCTGCCTTGAATCCTTTCTGCAACTATTATTTATGGGTATGAATCATAAACAAACTTCCCTTGTAAGTATTCTTGTAGTGATGATAACAATAATTCCTTGCATTATGTTGAGTGATATAATGCATTTTTAAATCACATTGTAAACTGAAAAATGATATATTAGTACAAGGAATAATTGTCATTATTATTGTGTAGGAATTTACAGTCTATAAAATGTCCTCCAGCCATGACCTCACAAGCCCATAAAATCTGCCACGTGTAACAGATAGAGAAGTTAAGGCTCCTAGAGGATAATGGACTGGCTGCCCAAAAGCACTCACTTAGGTTCAGGTAAAGTCAGTACCTGAGCCCCTATCTTCTAAATTCAAGTTCATCAGTTGTTATGGACTAAACTGTGTGCCTCCCAAACTCACAGGTTGAAGCCCTAACCCCCAATGTGACTTTATTTGGAGATAGGACCTTTAAGGAGCTAATTAAGGTTAAACAAGGTCATAAGGGAAGCACCCTAACCCGGTAGGACTGACATCCTTGAAAGAAGAGGAAGAGATACCAGGTCTCTCTCTCTCTACAAGAGCAATGGGGAGAAGGACATGTGAGGACAGAGCCAGAAGGTTGCCATCTGCAAGCCAAGGAGAAAGGACTCAGTACACATCAACTTTGTTGGCACCTTGATCTTGGACTCCCAGCCTCCAGAAAATAAATGTCTGTTGTTTAAGCCACCCAGTCTGTGGTATTTTGTTACACCACCCTGATCTGACTAATCCACCAGTGTTCTTTTTATTAGTGTTCAGTGCAGTTCAATAAGTGGTATCCACTGTGTGCTTGGCATTCACCACTGTACATGCTGTGGATCCAAAGATGACAGAGGCATGGTCCTTGACCTTGGACCCTTCCCTGTCCTCGAAGAGCTCATGGTCAGGCTAGGGAAACAAACGTATGTACCAATAATTTAAATGTTACATGGTAAGGGCCATGTTAGAGGTCAACACAGGACGCAATGAGAGCTCAGAGGAACAGTGAACTTTCAAGGAGAGGATTTGTGAGAGATCAAGAAAGGCTTCACTTGTGTCTGAGCTGATTCTTGAAATAGCACAGCAAAGAGGAAGGGTTTTTCCAGCAGAAGCAGCAGCACACTGAAAAGCACGGAGGGGAGTCTGGTCAGCGTGGCTCAGTGGTTGAACGTTGACTTGACCTATGAACCAGAAGGTCAGGGTTAGATTCCCAGTCAGTCAGGGCACATGCTTGGGTTGGGGGCACCATCCCCAGCAGGGCATGTGCAGGAGGCAGCTGATCAATGACTCTCTTTCATTATTGATGTTTCTGTCTCTATCTCCCTCTCCCTTCCCTTTCTGAAATCAATAAGAACATTTAAAAAAAAAAAAAAGCATGGAAGGGAGACATGGGATGGGGTGTGTGGAGAACTGAGAGGCCACAGCTGCTTCTAATGTGGAACATGGAAAGCAGAGGACCTCCATCTCTCTCACTTTAGGACCTTTGGTCAGGGGGTGGTGCTGGATAGTAAATAGAGTTAGGAGTGGGATGAAGAAGATCCTGGTGGGAAGGTTTGATGGGCAGGGAAGAGAATGAAGCAGTCAGAAGCAGCCTAGGAAGAACCAGAAAGAGGGATACTGTCAAGAGAAGAGGTAGTGGGCAAGTCTAAGAAATGCTAGAGAACCCCAGGCTCTGGGACCACAGAGTGAACAAAGCCTGGAAAGGAATGTGGGGGCCAAGATGCTGCCATATCCTCTCCACAGTCCCTTGGACCCCAACTTCATCTCAGTCTATCCCAAGTCAGGGAGGAGCTGCTGAAGCGCCAGAGGCTTTCAGAATACAGTGATTCCTCTGTTCTCAGAGATCCGCAGCAGGACTGAGGTGCGTGGTTCTGTCTTCTGACAGTCATGCTAGCAGAGCTTGTTGATGTCAGGTCATTTCAGACACCATCTCACCTTCTCCTCTCTGGAACTGCTGACTCAACAGACCTGCCCAGGGTGGGGAAGGTGGACAGAGAGAACTATCAGAGACAAGGAGGCACAGCCTCTCGAGTAGGCAGGGTTTCCTGAGGTCCAGACACCTCATCACATACCCACATACAGTGTCCAAGAGGCACATTTCACCATCTCACATTCCCCTGTTGGTTGATTTTGTTTCAGGGTCATGGCTAGGATGTGCCTGATCCATAGTAGCTTCTCCTGCAGAGGAAACGTACCAAGTCTTCCACATAATTAATGGAGAATTTAAAGATAATTTATGTCTAGTTTTGGACATGTTAGGCACACATACACATACACATGCACACTCACACACATGCCAGGTTCCACAATCCCCATCCTGGCTCAGTTCTACTTTGATGGCTCAGCAGGACATTGAGATGAGAAAGGTCAGTCCTTGGCACCAAGACAATTCACAGTGAAGAGCTGACTCTTGCCTGAGCCACCTCCATCCTTTCAGCAGCCTCAGACTGATATTATTATAGATGTTGACAGGACTTCAAAAGACAATGTCTCCAATGTCTGCCTCAGCTAAGCCAATCGTTCTCTTCTTCAGATACTGCACATTTAGGGTGGATCTTCCTACAGTTGGCTGCTGACACTCATAGATCTCAAAGTGCACAAGGTCAAAATCAGAAGTTTGGGAGTAAAGCTGACAGCTCTTTCTCCAATCCCACCAGCTGAGGGGTGCAATGTCCTTGAATCTAGAGATGAGCAAGAAGGGCTCACTTACCTTCTCTCTTCACAATTTCATTTACTGTGAATTGTGAAGGGCTGTAGGGGGCAGGGAGAAGGGCCTTGGAGAGGCTAGAGGGAAAGAAAATGACAGGAGAGGAGAGGAGAAGAAAGCAGAGGAGAGGAGAGAGAGTTCTGCATTCATTCTATCATGGATCCCATAGTGCTCCACACATGGCTGTTGGCTGCCCTCTGTGAGATTCCAGGGGGCTCCTGCACCCCTTCCTTCTACCTACATCCCAGGACCATCTCACAGTCAGAATGGGCTTCCACCTTGTTTCTCTCCAAACAAAATCTACATCTGACCCTTGGTTTGGCTTCTAACCAGGTTTGGGGCAGAGAGGCTGTTTTATCAGGACAGTGTTAAATAAACATTTTATTAAGAAGAAAATATGTCTGTTCCTTACCTTGTATGTGCCTTTTTTTCATATCATCCTGGAATGAAGAAGATGTTGCTTTGTTTGTAATCCTGCTAAGAGAAGAGTAGGCCCATCTTTGGAATAGGTTGCCCTTCAGCTTTCTGTTACAGTAAGTGACCCCTCCCCTTAGTAATAATTAAGTTAAGGCCACTACTTCCCAGCCAAATCTGTTCACTCTTTAGGGCAAGACCTGGGTTTTATTCATTTTTGTATCTCCAGCACCTAGCACAGAAGACTTAATATGATGTTTATTGAATTGAATCATGCACTTGATCTTCTGTGTTTTTAATTGAACTGTAGTAGATACAGTAAGAGAAACATAGTTGAAGAATTCACTAAAGGTGAGGGAAAGTCTGCATCACAGGGGTATGATTTCTTAAAACTGGTGAAACAGCAAGGCGAGAACACACTATCTGCCTCTAGGAGACATTGGACTTCTGTGCCACACAGGGACCAGGCTGATGTGTGACTGGATGACCGTAGCCAGAGATGGGGCTGGTGCTGCTGAACCAACGGGCAGCAAAGAGGGTGTGACTGAGGCAGCATTGAGCTGGTGCTAGGCGCACACCTGACCCTGTGGCTCTGCTGGCCACTGTCAGGAGTAAGGCTCAGCAACCCAGCCAGATCATGAAGGATCTTACCTTCAAGCAAAGAAGTGTGAACTCTAGAGGGACAGCCATAGGGAGCCATCAAAAGGTTTCAAGCAGACCAGTGACAAAGGAAAGCCATTCTGAGGACACTGTGAAGGGTGGACTGGGAAGGTAAAGGTGAGGTGAGTTATTGGAGTCCAGGAGACCAATGTAGGCAATACTGGCAAGAAAACACTTTGTAAAACAAAACCTGGAATAGTAAAATTAGTTGGTTTCTAGTGGAACTTGGAAAGGTATACTTTTATCGAAACTATCCCCTTTGCATCTTATAGTAGCAAGTTTTGTAATTTATTGATCCAACCAATAGGTTAAATGCTACCAAAGGAAGCCTGGATGGATGTTGGGGGAATTTCTTTTCTTAGTTTTTGAAGCTGGCAGAAGCCAGGAAACTACAGCCTTGTAAAACAGGACCAGAGAATGGTGCTGATTAACAGGAAATGCACCCCAAGTATGCTCCTTCTGACTTTTGCACTGGAGCAGGGGTGTGGGTGAGGCAGGGGAAATTGCAGGTTGGCAGTTATGGATTAGAGCAGGGCACTGAAAACTTTTTCTGTAAAGGGCCAGATAATATTTTAGACTTTAGAACCGTAAGGCCTGTGTTGCAACTGCTCAATTCTGCCAACACAGAGCAAAAGCAGCCACAGACAGTGTGTGAGCATGGTTATGTTACAACAAAACTTTATTTCTGGATACTGAAATTTTATTTCCACCTTTCATGAAATATCATTCTTCTCTTGACTTATTAAAAAATCATTTAAAAATACAAAGCCTGTTCACAAGTCGTACAAAACAGGATAAAGTCTGGATTTGGCCCGCAGGTCATGATTTAAAGACTTGAGAGTCACGGCTCTGACGCTCACCGGCCGTGTATCGTCGGACCTCTATGGGCCTCAGGTTTCGTGTCAACGTCTTAAGGCTGGAGAGCAGTTAATAAGAGCTAATGCGTTAAAATACTTTGTAAACCAGGCAGAACTACATCAATTTCAGCGGAAGTTACAGCCGCTCTCGCTCGGCCCGGTCCC